AAGCATAGAATATTTGTATTGGGCCCACAAGAAATATATCACAACAGTTGAGGTATATGTCCAGAACAGTGAGACCCACCATACTGCAACTGTTGCAGGATATGTCAACAAAAGGTTAAGGACAACATACTGATCCATTATGACCCACCCCAACATACACAAAATATCATAAGATCATCAGAATAAGTCAGGTTGTTACATCTGTTATCATAAACAGTTTAATCTTACAGGGTATACAGTACTGTACTTGTTTATAGCATCAGAGTACTTTGTATGCCTATTTCACCTTGAAACTTTTCTACAATGTCCAAGCAAAGTGATTTGTTGTTTGTAAGTACGTAATTAAAAGTACTGTACAATGAGTTTCCCGTTAGCCAGAACAATTGGTGCAGAGCTCTTCAGGGGATGAGAGATTTCCGGATAATAAGATGACTCTCAAACACGGATAAATTTGACATCCCTGGAACTTTTCCGGGTATTGGGAAAAGTTTCCAATAGTCAAAACTATGCATTTTGTACAGACAGACACTAGCCCACACTCCCAGAATGTTTCTGGGTGCTGGGGGAAATTTTCCAAGAGTCTAAACTGGTCACCTCATCTCTCACGGACACACACTCTCCCAATATACTGTATATAGACTACAGGCACAAGCGAAAAACTGCACAGTATAAACATTTATTCACAGCATCTGTTCTAATTGTGTTAAAGAGATGAATTTGATACCATAATGATCCTGAATAAATTCTCTACAAGATATAACTCTCAAAATGATATTATGGTGGGGACTCCATTCTTTTATAATAAAAAACATAAGAAATATTGATACAGTAGTCTGTAAAAGCAGTTCTAATTAAGTTACACACAATTTTTTACCCAAATAATCCTGATTGACTTATCTAAACGATTGGTTAAATAAATATATTTAAAAAAATAACCTACAGTATATGATATGGTTGTGAAAGGAGCTGTGTGTTAGAGCAAAGACAATGTAATTTTCCACTCTTCACAGGAAAATTTTCCAAACGTCTAAACAACGCATCTTGCAAGGAGCCGTATTTTTTTATGCAAACACCACTGTACATACAATACATTGTTAATATTGTCAACAAAATAATGTATACTACTACTATACTGTATATACTGTATTAACCAGCAGATGCTATCATCTTAAACATAGAGTAGACAGATACTGTCCACTCAGCTGCATGTAATATATAACTAATCATATCCTTACAATTGTAGAGGTAGGGTGGGGGATTAGTGGGTTTCATGACCTTAGGAGGTCTTGAATAAAGACGTAGGTGCTACAGTGTTTCCCATTTATCGAATGTAAATACAGGTACTGTACAGTATACGTAACTAATCACTTTTTACATTCTTAACACTGTATTTGTGACTGATTTTGTTCTAATACAGTAATGTACAGCATTGCATAGCAAAAATTGTATGCAAAACCTGCAATTAGCGAGGGAACAACCTTCTTCAATGGCAGCAGATTATGAACTAAGCGATCCAAGCAGCTAAGCCACCCATGCACCTGACACGTGGGAATGCTGCAATCTCTCATAATTCCCTGAAAATTTATTCCCAGGCCCAGAATGGAGAGATTTTCCATAATTTTTCTCCGAATTTTCCAAAAAATGAGCCGGAAAATTCTAAGTAAATTTAAATTCCGGGTAATGGAGAGTTCCGGGTAACGGAGATATTATTGTACTATGTATGATTTTTATCAAAAACTTCTACTTAATAATTGTTTAATTACTACTGAACATTTAATAGAAAAAAGCCTAATGGTTTCAAGGGGGTTGAGGGCATAGGTGAGGTGATTTTTGTTCAGAAAAATGGAAAATTCATCTTGCTCTCAGTCTCAACATTTCTGGAGTTCTGAGGTAGTTCTGTACTGCACATAAGCTTTTCATGGCTAATCACACTCCCATGTCTTGAGGGTACACCATACTACTAAATTCTCAATCAGAGCAATAGTTGACAGGGGTATTCAAAGATCTTAAAGCTGCCAACAATTACCATGGCCTTTGGGTTTAATAACACTCCCCAAAAAATCTGAATACAGTATGACATTCACAGGTCACTCATAACTGGTTTATGAGTACACTATGAAATGCAAGTTAAGACATCCCCAACAATGAGGATTTGTTTTTATTTTTTTGGTTAGAAGTGCAAAATACTTCATATATCTTTAATTAAAATGGTAAATAGATTACCATTTCTCAAACTGCAATCATAACTGTACTACTAACTGATAAAAGATTCGGCTACTGTATAAAGGTATGCTTTTAGTCATATACAGTACATATCTTTTGAGTACTGTCATGGGTGTTCCTTTTCGTTTCCTAAATATATTACTACGGTTTATGAATACAAAGGTTCGTAAAAGTGTATGAGGAACTCTAACACATATTGTCATCCTCTGTATATATAATGTAAACATCAGTGACTAATTATTCCATTATACAGTACACCCTCCCAATAAGGGACTTCTCAATAAGGGATATTCCCAATAAGATACATCTTTTTAAACTGTATAATTGGTGGAGTCACCCAATAAGATCTGGTAATAGGAACATTTTCTACTATTGACCACATGATACATGTTGTAACTTACTAGACTCAGAGTACACAAGCATCCCAGCTGACGGCACACTCATGCTGACTGTAAAATTCTTTCATCACTTAGAAACAAAGCACTGTAGAGTCTAACCAGGAATAATGCTCTTAAAATGTCTCAAAGAAACTCAAAGGTGATGGTACTGAGTGCAGTTGTGTAAAAAGAAAACAAAATGCTTATTATCAATGGAAAAAGTGGAAATTCAACAAAAACTTGATATGAAAACTCCTTGACCAGTATATTGTTTGTAAGAACCACAATTTATGATTTAGACAAACATGACAAATTAATTAAAATTTTATGCTGATAACAAGTCACACAAGGCCATGAGCAAGAAAAACCCCTCAGCGAAGGCAAGGCAGCCAGCGAGGATAAACTGATTACTACAGCAGATGATAGAAGTGCTTCAAATTACGTAACTTTCAATTCTCTATGTCAACTTTAAGTAAATATTCAATGGAAGATTTACGTTCATAGCTTTTATAAATATGCATTTCTCTATCTTACTGTAAATATATTATGATTTGTAGTGGTGTTCATTTGAGCATCCAGCACCAGTGACTGCTGCAGGTAAAAAAAAAAAAAAAAAAAAATGTAGTACTGTATACAGGCCCTTGGAGTAGATACTGTTTATCAAATTTTCGAAAGCCTCTTACTCCCAAGCATCTTGGATTCCTGATACTCAAGTGAACCATATAATAATATGCATTTTGATTGTTGGGAATGATGTGTGAAATTATTATTGTATTATTTTATGTAAACATTAGGGAAAAGGAGGCCCTCCCAATAAAGGACAGGACCTACAAGATTTAGTCTGGTACAGGTATCCCTCGTTATCTAAATGGGAAAAACTAGGGTTTGGTTCCCCAATGACAAGAAACCCCCTATATTAAACCCAAAAGAATGAATTTGGTTCATAAACAGCAAAATCTTACCAAATTACTATAAATTAGTACCTAACTACTGTATGGTAATTGCTAAATTAAATAAAATATACTGGGAAGTTTACTGTATTAACTTTCACCAGCACCATTTTCTCTTTATAGCAAAAGGTAAATAATTGCTCTTCCAGTTCTCCTCTTATTATCCAACAACGACCTGGCAACATCACAAATTTAATGTACAGTATTGCAATCATCCTGCTTGTGCCATTATTCTATTATCACATTTTTCTTTTGGAAAAATATTTGTTACAAACATCATCAGTATATCTCCACCAAGTACAGTTTCCCGTGTGAAGATTTTTATCCTGTATAAACAGTTTCTGAACATATGATACAAACTTTCCTTAAAATTATAATTTACACTGTAAAGGTTTTATTACTGTATCCATCTACTACTGACACCACTCCACTTCGGTACAGTAAAAGTGAAGGTGGTACGTAATACACAAACATATACACACCTGCATCACAAGTTAGCCATCTCAATGGGCACACATACTATATTCTAAAGTGAGGTTTTCTCTCAGAGACACTAAAGATCTGTCACTTTTATTGTTTGTTCAAAGAATTGTTGAAGAAAAACCCTAAAGAAGCTAATAAAATTTATAGCATTTCCTATAATTTGTGGGGTGACAACCCCCAACATGGAAGGATTAGCTTAATCTAGGACACTTACATGGCTGGTGGCCAGATCAGTGCACACCAGAATACAATAACATCTCATCAACCTACCTTACCATGGTATGGGAGTTCAGAGCCATTAATCAAGCAAATTCCCATTTTAAAGGTACTGTATATTCATCATACAAAAATTTTCAGCACTTAACCTTTTCTTTTTATGAGATTTTCACACAAAGATTCATACCCTATGATATAACACATGTAACACCCAAGATAAATTTAAGAAATATTTTGCTGATACTTCTGACATAAACAAAAAACAAGAACAAATTAGACAACACATACTGTAAATTATATAAAATATACACTGATCTGATCATCCATAAACCCCAATACTGAGAGAGATCCCAACATGAAGTCCTGTGTCTCAAAGGATAAAAAGTGATTCATGGATTCATCTCTTCTCTTCCACCTTCCCAATACACATTGCAGAACATGATGAAGCTACATACCAAGAAATTATTACAACTAGTAGTTGAATAATCAACATGAATAAATGCAAAAAATGTCTGGATAAAATTAGATATGGCCTCCATGTGCATTATCTATATCATTACCTTAGGGTGGAATTGTAGAGTGATTAAACTGTTGATGAGGCACTTGAAGGCAAGTGATATTGATGACTGACTTTGTGGTATACAAAACTGAGAAAGCCAAGCACCTTAAAGAATCACAATTCCCCATTGAGTTCACTTATCCTACATAGCACCATAAATTTCACTGGATTATTTTTTGAACACTACTTAACTTTTCTTGGGCTTAATCTTCCCATAGACAAAGTTCTGCCCTCTATCCACAAGGACACCTCCATGCCCTGCTTCCACAAGGGTCTTCTTACGAAGAAAATGAAAGTGATCCAGAGCAAAGTTGTAAAATTCATTTTCCAGCCTCCATACCTGCAAAGATAAACACATCAATCAAAGCTGATTAAGATGGCATCGGCAAAATTAGATTACAATTATTTTCAGTAACATGAAATGGGTTTCTTGTTCCTTCATACACCTCACTTATATTTTATCATTGTGACTGACTATACAAATTACTACCATTTTCCTATACTATATTGAACTATACAATGAACCCTCAATCACCTGGACTAATAGGATGCGGGGTCTGGATCAGCTGAAAGTCTCAACTATTGAAATCCAGTACAAGTGTAAAGAAACTCCCTCATTTAAAGTAATGGTTCCCAGATGAACCCAGAGTGAAATACTGTACAGTAAAACACAAAGCCCCAAATCCTACAACCTTGGGTTGTTACCCAGACTATAGCAGCCGACTCTGCTGCAGATTACGACTTCTGAGTGAGTGACGAGAAAGCAGCCGACTCTGCTGCAGATTATGACTTCTGAGTGAGTGACGAGAAAGCAGCCGACTCTGCTGCAGATTACGACTTCTGAGTGAGTGACGAGAAAGCAAACGACTCTGCTGCAAACTACGACTTCTAAGGTGAGTGTAAATGGGTTGCTAGTGACGTGAAAAGTGAAGTGAGGATAATGGAAAGCTTAAGGAAAATGATTTAAAATTGTAACTAATATTTTTGGTGTTCGTTTATGTAGGTGTGGGATTGTCAAGTGAGGGTGGCAGTGTGGCATCTGCTGCCGAGTCTGGTGTTCCCAGGATGGTGCATCTGCTGCCAAGTATGGTGTTCCCAGGAAGGTGCGTCTGCTGCCGAGTCTGGTGTTCCCAGGATGGTGTGTCTGCTGCCGAGTCTGGTGTTCCCAGGATGGTGCGTCTGCTGCCAAGTCTGGCGTTCCCAGGATGGTGCGCCTGCTGCCGAGTCCGGTGTTCCCAGGAAGGTGTGTCTGCTGCCGAGTCTGGTGTTCCCAGGATGGTGCGCTCTGCTGCCAAGTCTGGTGTTCCCAGGATGGTGAGTCTGCTGCCAGTCTGGTGTTCCCTGGATGGTGTGTCTGCTGCCGAGTCTGGTGTTCCCAGGATGGTGTGCTGTCTGGTGCATCTGCTGTCTGAGTCTGGTGTTCCCAGGATGGTGCGTCTGCTGCCCAGTCTGGTGTTCCCAGGATGGTGCGTCTGCTGGTGTTCCCAGGATCTGCTGCCGAGTCTGGTGTTCCCAGGAGTCTGGTGTTCCCAGGATGGTGCGTCTGCTGCCGAGTCTGGTGTTCCCAGGATGGTGCGTCTGCTGCCGAGTCTGGTGTTCCCAGGATGGTGTGTCTGCTGCCGAGTCTGGTGTTCCCAGGATGGTGCGTCTGCTGCCGAGTCTGGTGTTCCCAGGATGGTGCCTCTGGATGCAAGGTGACAGGAGTTATGCCCTCATGTGATAAGTGTTACTGCCACTGACATGATATTATTGGAGAAGGGGTGGAGTGTAGTTAGGGGAGGTGATCACAGGTACCACCTCTGCCCTCCCACACACTCTGTAGGTGTGAGGTGACAGGAATTACGACATCATATGACAAAGGTTACTGACTCCATTTAGAGGGACACAGGTGATCTATGAGTTGATACACACATTAAATTTGAATATTTAAAGGTTGTTTATCTAACTTTTCCCATAAAAAATATTTCTGGACAAGTAAATTTCAAAAGTCACTTGCCCATATAATCTGAACAGTCTGTGCCCAACCATTAAATTAGCAAATGTACACACGCACACTTTCAAACAATTTATAATTATTATAAAAACTTTCTCCCAACAAATGAATAAGCACTACAGTACTTTACCTTTGTATTTTGAAGCTTAGTTATAGTTTCATCCGAGGGCATGATCTTCTTTGAGGTCTTTCTTATATGTGATTTTGAACCTGTGAAATAAGACATCTTAGCAGATACCCAAATTTCTCCATAATAATATTGTTAAGCAATCAGGCAATCATGCAGAACAGCTTCAAACATAGTCAGTACACAGTCTGCACACAGGGAAAAGCATCTTCTAAGAGTTATGAGGGTACTACAGGAATGGGACCATTTATCCGGCATGCTTGGGACCCTGGGGTTACCGGATAAGGGGTTTTTTCCGGAATTTTGCAGCGCCAGCCCTAAAATGTACTAAATGTACCGTAAAACCTCTATAACTGTCTGTGAAGACTGTTCGGATCACTAGAATAACCCATAAAAGTAGCTTTAACAGTACACTGAAGCATTAAAACTAAAAATTGTAGGAAGCAATAATAAAAGCATAAAAAGACCAAAATTCATAAAGTTGTCTCGATAATTCGTAAAAATATAAATTCGTGGGTACCTCTATTATTTTTTCAAATTTCACGGTCAAATACAGTAATGTCTCCATGAGCTGGAATCCCTCTTAACGGGAACTCTCCAATAGCTGAAATTGAAATTTGCTCAGAATTTTTCTGGAAAATTTCTTTCAATTCCAGGTTTGGGAATAATTTTTTGAGGTTGAAAATCAGGCACATTTTCTGGAAAATTATAAGAAAAACTCAAGAAACTCTATCCAAATCTCTCCATTCTGGGCCTGGGAATAAATTTTCAGGGAGTTTTTCGAGATTGCATCATGCTCCAACGCATCCCCACGTGTCAGGCGTGTGGGTGTAAACCTAGCTGCTTGGATTGCTTTTTTCAGATTCTGCTGCCATTGTATAAGGTTGCTCCCTCAGTAGTTGCTGTTTTTGGCATACAAATTGTGTTGTGCAATGCTGCACACTATTGTACCAGAACAAAATCAGCCAATCAGCCAAGAAGAGTGTTAAACAGTGTTAAGAACATAAACAGAAACTATAATTATGTATACTAATGTACTGTACACTCAGAAAGTGGGAAATGCTGGAGCACTTTAGTTTTCATCTTTATTCAAGGCATCTTCGGGTCATGAGACACTAATCCCCCACCCAGGACAATGGGTAACCTGACATAGCATCAAGTTAGGTCAGTAACATGACCCACTAATCCTCCACCCCACCCCACCACAAGTGTTAAGACATGATTAAAATTACATATTACTTTACATTCAGCCGAGTGAACAGTGTCTGCCTACTCTAGGTTTCAAGAAGACAGCATCTGTAGGTGAGTACAGTACTGTATATATAGTATATTAGTAGTATACATTATTTTGTTTACAGTATTAATAATATACTGTGCAGTGGTGTTTGCATAAATAAATATGGGTCTGTGCAAAATGCGTCATTTAGACTCGGGGAAAATTTTCCTGTGAAGTCGAAAATTCCACTGTTTCTGCTGTAACCCACAGCACTGTTCATGCCTGTATCATATAGATTTTTTGTTAAATATATTTATTTTACAAAAGTTATAGATAAGTTATTCAGGACTATTTTGGTAAAAAAAAAAAGTGTGTGTCCAACTTAATAAGAAATTAATTTTTTACTCCGGTATCAACTTGAGTTTTTTTTATAAAAGAATGGAGTCTCTATCATTATATCGTGCCAAAACATTTTGTCTAAGGCTCTCTTAATGGAAACGTTTTGTTTGCCTGTATTATATGGATTTTTAGTTTTCAAAATATATTTATTAACCAAACTTTTAGATAAACTATTCAGGATTATTCTGGTAAAGAAATTGAGTTTCTAACTCAATTATAACTACAGCCCCTCCCCAACTTACAACCTACTCGACTTCTGACCACCCGTACTTACGACCTGCCTCAGTTGCACCAAAATTTTATCAAATTACCTATTTTCGAGTCCCAACATCAGTACACAGACAAAATTTTCGTTTGTAATTCACTTTAAAATAGCTAGCAAGCTTAAAAGTGAGAGTTTTGTGGTGCTGAGAAGAAAAAGTGACTCCCATTTTAGATTTTTTTTATGTATTATTTAAGCATTTTCGACTTACGACCTGGATTTGGGTCCCTAACCCCGTCGTAAGTTGGGGAGGAGCTGTACTTCTACAGACTCCAATATAAACATTTCTTATGTTTTTTCATTAAGGAATACAGTTCCCATCATTGTATCATGTCAAAATATTTTGTTTAAGGACCTCTTATTGGAAACATCTTGTAGAGAATTTGTTCAGATTCATTATGGTATCAAACTCATCTCTCTAACACAATTAGAACAAATGCTGTGAATAAATGATTATAATTTTTCACTAGCCATAAATATTTTCACTTGTGCCCATTGGTCTAGAGGTTAATGGGAGTGTGTTTGTCCGTGTAAGATGAGGTGCGTAGTTTAGACTCTCGGAAAATTTTCCACAGCACCCAGAAATATTCTGGGGGTATGGGCTAGTGTCAGTCTGTCCAATATGCAAAGTTTAGTCTCTCGGAACTTTTCCCAAAACCTAGAAAAATTCCGGGAGTTAAAATTCTTTCCCCAGTGTTCTGTTATGTGTCTGGTTAGAATTCTTTCCCCAGTGTTCTGTTATGTGTTTGTGTTACTGTGTACCTTATTCAGGACGCGTGGAAAAAGACCATCAAGTTTAAGTGAAAGCAGTAGTGATAAAAGATTCTATAAAGGAATTACGCTGGACAATAAACATTATGATTTAAGGAGGTAACTCCCAGTAACTCTGATCATATCACCTCACCTCACAACCTCCTGCAGCACTCAACATCATTTCTGGTGAGTTAAATTCAAGTGTGTGCACTCATTGTTGTGTTACATAATGAATGAATCATTGTATGTGTCTATTTTCATTCATATATGTGCCTGTGTTAAGTTTTTGAGGCACAAAAATTTCCAGAAGAACACATCTCAACTTATATAATGGGAGTCAATAGGAAAAATGGTTTTGCGATATGGAAAATTTTTCAGGAATGGAACAGTTCCGTGACCCGGGGGATGCATGTGATTCTTAAAAATTTCACTATAAATAAATTCAATGGTATAGACTAAAAAAATTAGCTGGAAAAATTTTGTTTGTTTGAGATCTTTTGTCATGCAGCAGCCATTACCAGAAGTTTACTGCATCAAGTTTAGTCAAAATTCCATGCTACGTATTATAGAGGTTTTTCACTCACTAAGTCAGATATACACACAAACATGGATGCCTGTGAGTGATGGTGGACAACAATAATCACAGATAGTCCTTACCTGAGACATAAAGATCAAGAGCACCTTTAAACAGGCGTGGAAGAGAATATTCAAGCATAGCCACAAAATCCTCAAGTTCTTCAGTGACCCCAACAAGGAAGTAATTTTGTACGAGGTTATGTTTTGCCATTTCTAGAGCCCAGCTTGAACCTGGTATCCTGCAAGATAAATGACAATCAAAATCAATTAAGAAATAAAACTACTGTATAAATATTTGTTATTGAATGCTATGATAAGTTGAAGATTAACTCTTTGGGTATGAAGCTAAAGAAAATATTAAAAATGTCGTCCGGTAGGGAAGGGGTTAACACTGAAAAACCAAAAATAAAGGAACGAGGTACAAAATCGCTTATCAGGATCAAGGGGCATTTGACATGAATAACACAACCATTAAACATCCTCTCTGTTGCCCTTCAGAGACTGCATATAGTTTAATAGCAAGATAGTGATTTATAAAGTAATTGCAGGTGACCTGTGAGATCCTTGCCCACTTGAAAGCAGGATGGAGGAATTCATTTGTCAAGAACTAATGAAAACCCACAAAAGGATTCACTTTATCAACTTACCAATGACACACAGTTGGAGTTATCAATCTCTCTATTAAGATATCTAGAGATGAAGACTTAAGCATACAGTATTTGTTATTTACTCGTGGCCTCATATAATTCTTCATAGCTTACCAGCATTCAGCATAGTGACCACAGAAGAAAGGTATCTGCATCCAGAGGTGGTTGGTTGAGCAATCTGGATGCTGGAGGGCTACACATTCATCTAGTGTCTGAAAATGTCAACATATTTATGCTGTGTATGTGTGTATGTTGAGTTATCATACTCATGTGAATCATACTGTACTGTATATATTAAATACCATATGTATACCATATCTACTCGAGTATACAGTCATCCCTTGGTTTTAGCACACTTGGTTACCGCGATTTTCGTTATCACGCCTCCATCAAAATCTGCACACCTGCTGTTATAGCGCATTTTTCAAGCCGAGAATTTCGTTATCACGCAGTTGCCTCCAGGTGTTTTTAACCATTTGCTTCACCTACATCTATTGAGGATAAAATCTTTCACCAAAAAATTGACAATAACACATTTGCTGTAATCAGACATATCTAAGTTGCTTCAACAATTGCAATTTCAAATTCTGTGTCATTACTAAGGAATAACGAAGTCCCGGGTGCACTTTAAGATTGAGAGAAAACGGAGGACTCAGGCGTCCTGAAGCAATGAGAAAATGGACTCCTCAGACGGGGGACTCAAATAAAGAAAGCATAGCTACATGTTTTGTGGACTACAGTATTGAGAGTACCTTTTCATCACTTTGTAATAAACCTAGCCATGCCTATGTGTTTTTCTGATACTTACCATAACATTATCTATATATTTAGTGGGTCTAAATCAGTGGTGTCAAACTCAATACCTTTCGAGGGCCAATTCTTATTTTAGTTACCCTCTTCAGGGTCAACACAAGTGCTATATCACATATTTGCAGAATTGAAGTTTACAGCTTCACACATTGCCTTACCTGGCTTACCAGGAATACCTGATTTGGGTTTGTCTAATCTTAAGTATGTAAAATTCATTTTACAAAATAAACATGATTATATCTATTTCTTTCATAATTTCATGGGTCGATAAATTTTACAGTCATCCCTTGAGCCAAACCTGACCATCTCAAGGGCCACATTTGGCCCGCGGACCATGAGTTTGACACCCCTAGTCTTACAACTTACAAAATTTTTGACCTAAATATACTTTTTTATCAGAATTGAAATTTAAGGGGTTTAGCTAATTAAGGACTTTCAGAATAACAAACAAACTCTAAATCACATCTTGGAAACCCATAGTTGATGAGTAATTATTATTGAAAAATGTCAATAAAATATTTCAAGGGTCATTTTGGCCACTAATTACTCTGCAATCGAATCGTGGACCACATATAAATAATCAGCAACCTCAGGAGTACCCAAACTGTGGTTTTCAGCAAAATCTAATTTTTGGCCAAAACCACCAAAAATGTAAGTCTTACCTTACACCTTACAAAATTTTTGACCAAATTATACTTTTTTCTCAGAATTGAAATTTAAGGGGTTTAACTAATTAAGTACTTTCAGAATAACACACAAACCCTAAATCACATCTTGGAAACCCATAGTTGATGAGTAATTAACACTGAAAAATTTCAATAAAATCTTTCAAGGGTCATTTTGGCCACTACTTACTCTGCAATCGAATTGTGGACCACATATTCATAATCAGTTAAGGGGGGTGTGAGGGGTCTAACCTGTTTCATCTCCCATATGTAGTAAAACGATTGATAAATTTTGTCGTCCAGCAGCCTTTTTGTTTTATTTATTAGTAAAGTATTACATACTGTATTTTAATTTATTCTTCACATTTACTGGCATACTGTATATTATTTAACTTATTCCTCATACGAGTTGGTAATTGGCCGGAATTCAGTTTCAGAGTTGGTAAATATGTTCAAAGCAACTGCTATTGTAGTGGTGGTTATGGTCACGACACATTGGTGTGACTCTGGTGTCTTCCTACAAATTATGTCTAGGATTATACTTAATGTTTCTCAAAATATAGGGTTAAATTATACAAGATACTGTATGAAAAACTCAAGGATTTTTTACCCAAAAATCAGGGGTTGAACTACTGTATACTATACAGGTATATGAGATCAGTACAGTATACTGTATACATGAGTATACACCAGTACAGTGTATACGGTAAATTATATCTTGACATCCTGTTCAGGTAATTACGAGTGATATTTGCAGAATTTAAAAGTTGTCGACATTTAAAAATGTATCCCTTCTAAATACTAAGGAAAGGGGGTACTGAAACAAATGGCAGGATAAATGCTACTACGCATAAAGCTTCACTAAAAATACCATTTTTTATCAGAAAATATAGAGGAACAATGAGAACTTACCATCTTGTCACCCATTTTCTTATAAACACGTTGTGGCATGAGATCATCACCATATCGGATGAAATAATAGTGGGAGACAAGGCGCTCCAAAGGATTTCTAATGATGTTAATGTATAGTGGCTGCACATTCACTCCAAACCTTTTTGTAAAGAGAAGGCAAGTCACCATTATATAATCTTAACAATTACTGAGATGTAATACAACTTAATTTATGCAAAACTGAAGCATCACTATTCCAGTTAACATTAAAGTGAACTAACCTGTTAAAATCCAAGTATGCAAGATGTCCATGATATATTCCAGGTTTCTTTTCTTCCCAGTTTGACATATTATATACAAGCCGCATCTGGAGAAATTATTAATATTCATAATACAGTTTATAATAAAAAATAAATAAATAAACTGTGTCCCTGTTGTTTAGAGTCAATTTACCTTGGGTGAGAAGCTTGTTTAATATAAGAGTCCTAAGTTGAGTCACTCCCTCTATTCTCACCATATAAAGTCTGTACACTTTTTATAAATAAAAATAACTGCAATAAGGACTAAAACATCTCTGTAGGAATAATTGGTCTGACTGTTATAATGTACAGAAAGACTCCTCTAAGTCGGACTAAATGGAGCTTGAGGCTGTCTGACTTCTCTAAAATTCTGACCTAGGCGTAAACTCCTCCCAGGTGCTTTTAACCATCCTTTTGCAAATCCCTTCCCAAAACAAAATTCAAGTTAACAGTGCAGGTATATACAATTACACTGCTCTTACATTTATTGTAGCTGATGAATTTTGGGGTGGAGGACTGCTTGCACTTGTAATAATGAACATATATACTGTATTTACACTTACATTGAAATACATTTTATATTTAGTTACACTTATATTTATTATGTCTATGTTTGACTTTGATACCCCCAAAATGTTCTACACTACGGAGGGTATACGCAAACACTTGCTATCTTGAAAATAGGTTCTTATTCTAGTACGGGAGATAAATACAGAAGAACAAAGAAACTAGGTTCCACACCATAAGGACTAGTGATCTCAACTCTGTATCACTCCGCGCTGGCATGTACAGATGCCAGCATTCACAAGCTGAATACATAATATGTAAATATTACATAGGATTAATACATGTTCTGTAATACTTTACAATACATAATTAATAGAGTAATATAAGAATACACAGCTTAAGGTACTACTTCGTGTCCATATTATACAGTATGCACTTAAATCTAGCTGAAGCTGTAAAATGTACCCTGGTTCAGCCCAAACTCCTCAAAGATAATATTTATGGAGACCACAGCATAGTTTTGGTCTCATATCTTCAGTTTCTCTTCAATCAGTAGAGTTCTAAGCACTATACTGTTTCTATGTTCCCAATGGTCCTCAGTGGTGCTGTTTTACCATTTCTTGCTTTAAAGACCATAGTAATACACTCAGAAATCCCTATATATGTACAAAACACAAGAGTGCGTGGCAGAGCAAGAGTCGTAAGAAGAAACACATGGGAACTGACAACTAGCCCAATTGCCACCCTCTCAGCTGGAGCTTGTCCAACTTGTGGGGGTTTCTGACTTACATGAGTCTAACTGAGAGGGGTCTTACTTAGTGGTATATGGAAGAAAATTTAATACAAAGAATTATGAATTAAGGAGAAAGGAGCAATGCAGAATAGTCACAATGTGATTATTAAGATTACAATATTTACATTTTCAATTCCTTGACTGCAATAAAGAGAAAAATAAGTGTGTGTGTGTGTGTGCGTGAGATTAGACTGGATTTTCTCTGGTAATTATACTGTAATACAGGTATTATTCAATAAATAATGAAATAATAACAGAACAAACATTGTGCCAACTCAGTAGTGAGGCATGACAGTGAAATCTTAAGAAAGAGATGGATGGAGAAGATCTATGAAGCTGTTAGGGGTTAAAATTTTATAATGGAAGAAAAGGAACAACAGATACATTACGTCCTTAGTAGACGGAGTGGCCTCATTACAATAATGATATACAGCAGGTCAGTGGTTCTTAACCTATTTGAAGCTGCGCCCTCCTATGATCTACCTTGAATCCATATGCCCCCCCCCCCCCATGATCCGCAAAGGACCTTGGAACACATTCTTTTATAGAAGTAATAATTTTAAAAGTTCAGTTGTTTGAGGGTTGGCACTGCTGCTTCTCCAGAAACATCTGAATTCTTGGTGAGGTATAAGAAAGAGCATGCTACATGTCACTTTCAACATTCAGCCTGATTCAATACTTAGTCTTCACAGCAACAAGCGTTGAAAAGCCTGTGCCACAAAGGTATGGGGACCTCGGTATACCCCTCCCAGGCCAAACTGTAGTTGTGTTATTTTTCAACTTGTATTTTTGGGTACTTATACAATACGTATTTCTTTTTAATTTTTACTCTATTATATGCACATATAATCATTCAACAGAATGTGCAAAACAATAAAATAAATAGATAAATACAGTAAATAAAAAAATTAAAGAAATGATTATCATTAGGGTCTGAGTGTGGCTCCAACTGGATCTGGATAGTGTGTGTTCCCCTGTGGTTGCAGGGGCCCTTTTATTAGGGAGTTCAGGGTCACATGATGTTACCAGGCCTATCCTGGTGCCTCCTTATCAATACTCATATCGGTGTGCCTCACCTTTGTCCCTTGTTATCATGTGCTTTGGATTCACGCATGTGGTGTACTGGCCATATGTCTACCAGCAGCGCCAGCCCTATAAAGTTACTGTTATATACAGTACACCATTTTCCTGGTCTGGATAGCTTTTATCTGACAGAAACTCACTATACTGTACAGTACTATAAACATATTTTAGTTCATGAACTAGGAACCCCATGCTATGGTAACACTGTCCCAGCTTAGTCAGGCAGAACTGCAGCTTTAATATGCATTCAAACTCTGGCATTGTCTTTGCATCTCATTTTTTTTTTATTCTCCTCCACAATCATACCCATTGGAAACATTTCTTCTCTTCCAATCAGTGATGTTAAGCAACATTGGGTCTGTTTAGTACTTGGATGGGTGACCTGCCTTGGAATACATATATATATGTTGTTGGCACTAAGACCCTACAGGAAATGCCCGTAAGCATCTCATGGCTTTCTTGGCTATTCTTGGTCAAATTGACTAAATACTGTACAGTACTGCATTTCTATTTTTGTTGTCTTAATCTCCAAAATATGTCATATTATCCTCAAGTGGAACCCTTGAAACAAATGACATCTCTGACAATACCGTACTACATGAAGTTAAGATTGAGATTAATAAAAGGCAAGTTTTCCCTGCCCCACACAGCCACGCCAATATCTTAATTATAATTTAATTTCATTACGAATATATTTGTATTCCGATTCAGAAATATGTTCAATCCTTTGCATGCAACCCCTCTGAAAGATTGAACTCAAACCCCCTCCCCCTCCCCAATAGAAGCACATCCCCCAGGTTAAGAGCCACTGCTATAGACCAAACATATGGATAAATATCAAATATATTTCTCCAGTTCACGTATTGTTGAGTGTAAAGCCTCCTGAAATGTACTGATAACTTGTATATGTCAAGCTGAATACTATTTCTAAAAACACTTAACACTTTACCTGATCTGTTAAGGAGAGAGTTGGATTCTTCTTGGTTGTGTTTACATTAATAACATTGAACTTGTTCTTGGAGCACAGATCATAAGCCAAGCCAATAAATGAAGTGGATCCTGTCTTTGGGACCCGGTTGTAAATAACTATTAAACTCTCAAGGTCAAGACCTCTGCCATTAATACTGCTGATGGTATGGCCACCATTTTTTTTATCTTTCCTTTTGCCATTATTATTGCTGCTGCTTCTGCTGTTGCTACTACTACTGCTACTTTCTGTAAGTGTGCCACTCATTTGAAGTTCCATGGCAGCTGCATGGAAAAAAAAGTCAAGATTTAGTAAAGAAATACCATACATTAATATTTTGTAGAAAACAAAATACTGCTGCCATATTATGTAAAATGCTTCTACCCTGTACTGTATAAGTCAAATTTATCTTATTTACAACAATGTGAGGGGTCATGTGGGGTAGGTAGCATAAGGATGTGTTGATAATGATAATGTGGGTGTGTTTAATTATCACCTGGATAAGATAAATCCAGATAAAACCACACTACTAGAGCAAAACAATTTGACACCTCTTTTTCTTTATATGTAAGCAGGAACTTTCTAACAAATAAAATTTACATAATGAAACCCAGTTTCTCTTTATACAAACACAAATATTTGCCTTAATAAGTAGCACCCCTTTGTCACCCCTTTTTCTTTAAGGAATGCAAACTTTTAGCTGACATGTAGTGAAGAGGCCACCCAGGATGTGCAGAGATGCAATGTATTTATTCTTGACATATATTAGTGACCCGTGTGTGAAAAACTACCCAGTTGACCAACATTTTCTCTCCTAGATTTCCAGGAAATGCAGTTGAATGGGTTGTGGTATAAGCATGTGATGAGGGTAGAAGTAGGGGGATTGTGTGGTTAATGGCAAAAAATTTGACCATTAATGGATTTATATAAATACTTTTGCATTACCACTATATTAACGTGATAAATACCAATAATGAAGTTAACCTCTGAACTTTCTTCTATGCTATTTTTAGTCTTTCCTTTGCCATGCTTAATCTAGCTATACTGTACATTCTTTTTGTACTGTTAATATTCTTATACAATACAGTACTGAATATATAATGCACTAGCATGTGCCTACAGTAATACTGTAAAGTGGTCCCTCGGTTAACGAGAACAATCCGTTCCAGCAGGTTGCTCGTTAACCGAAGAACTCGTTAACCGAAACCATTGTTTCAATGGGTTTTTGGGTAATTGGTTCCAGCTCACCGAAAATTGCCTAAATTCAACAAAAAAGGTAGAAAAGTACACTTACTTTGAGGTGTGTATGTAGAAGGCTCCTGGATGACGATGATGATGGGAATTAGAATGGGGGTGGAGGAGAAGGGAGAAGAGAAGGCATTGGGGTGGAAGAGAAGTCACACCATGGCACCATTTCACCCATAAAATTTTAGTTCTCTTGGTGCAATTCAAAATTATTTTCTTTAAATCAACACTGCACTGCATTATATATTGTCAATATGTAAAATAAAATTTCAAAATGACCAATAATTTGCTTGGAAACACAGAAAAAAGCATTTAGTTGAAGAGAGTCTCGAGCAAGATGTTACCTCCACTGAAAACAGAGAGAGACTAATGCCTGTCTGGTGTGTGAACAGGCTGGATGGCACGCCAGAAACTAGTTTCTTTACCTTCAATCATGTTCAATAATTGTTAAAATGACTAAAAAAGTTAATATTAAACTTTTAAAATTATTGAATAGTATAAACTTCTTGATATTTACTAAAATAGTAAGGAATTTAAGCCCTAAAACCGATTACTGTATTGGCGGACTAATACTACAGCTGGTGGGCCGCCAAATGCAAGCGAAAACATGTTGAAGTCGGCTCGTAAAAAACTCGTTAATCGAGGGATTGCTCGTTAACCGAAGTTAAGAATCTTATGGAAGGTAAATCGTTAACCGAAATCTCGTTAACCGAGGCGCTCATTAACCGAGGCGCTCGTTAACCGAGGGATCACTGTACTGTATATGTACAACCATACCCATATGATCTTTTATATTGTTCACTTACGATGAGAATGGATATAGTTGCGCAGGTGACACACTTCCTTTGCCAAGTGTAAATACATAAGCATTACCACTGCACTCACTCCCACCATAAACAAGACCACCACACGGGAGGCCTGAAGACGGGAGCTTGTCATACTGAAAATAGGAAAGGCAATTACAGTCGGCATGGAAAAATTTTGAAGCCACTTCAAAAATCAGCTGTTATAACACAATGAGTTAACACTTTCACGAACCCCATGATGGAGCCACACAGTCCACCCAAAGTGAACTGAGGGGCTCCCGTCCATCCAAGTAGAAAAGCTTACAAACATTTGAAATTTGTGGCATCATCTTCAGTCGTAACGTTTGATGAATTTTAAAAACGGATGACAATATTTTCAGTATCAGATTGCCAATGGTTTGTGAAAGTGTTTTTACAGGTACTGTATGTGAAAATACCTGTAGTCAAGAGTTTTCTGTAAGCCCATACCATGACATAACAAATTATATGCTCCAACATTTTATACCTTAAGTTTTTCAGATAACCAAATTTTGGGTCAATTTACAACACAAAGTTATGAATTTTATAAATAACATATCCTTACATGATGATTAAGGTCATACAGGTGTCTCTCACTCACTATAACTTAACAACCATAGTTTTAACATACTAGTACTTGATAAATTAGGGAAAATGCTTATAAAATACACCGACAGTAGTCGAAGATTCATTATTACTATACTGTACTGTACTATACACAGTTTGGAGGTTGGAGACAAAGTGTGTTTTTAATGTGGATTCACAGTGCTTTGGTCTTCTCACTTCTGTAAAAATGGAATAATGATCCAAAATTGTAAAATACCAGTTTTTAGTGTTAATTAATAATCTTTGAAATAATTAAACACATTTAGAATAGTTTAAATGTCAATTACAGTACAGGGTATGCTGTCCCTGTAAATTTTATATTGCCATTAGAGAATATACTTTTTCTCAAAAAATATAGATTAACTTTACAATTTAAAGCTGTACTTTTCACTTATCATAAAAAAGTTATATGCCCAGAAAATACCTGACCTAGTACTACCTTAAATTTCGGCCCACAAGGTCAAAAATAATATTTTCATCAAATCTCTCATCCCAAAAACCTGCCATGTTTGGTATGGTCACTCTGGATAATGAGCCCAGGCCATGGATTGAACCCAGGACACAAATGGAGAGATATGCACATTACTGCTATAGCATCATTTATTGCAATAACTATAGAAATATAACATGGATGAATAAAGTCAACCTGGAGATGATAGTACAGGAGAGTAATTGAAATTTTGCTAACCTTTTCTTATGTAGAGCTCTGGTCAGCCAAGTACTTTCTGTTTAATTTGAAGTTAGGTAACGTTATTTAGGTTTTTTGGGTTGGTTAGGTCAGGTTCTATTAGGTTCCAGTAAATGTCGACTTCTATAATGACAAGCACAACAGAAATATGGTTAGGTATGTTTATAGCTACACAACAATAAACTCATGGCAAAATAAATGCCAAGTGCCGCCAGAGTCATGGTTAAAATATAGTTCTCACAATTTTGCTGGTAATGGACAATTTGCCAATGAGAGCACACTCACGGTAAAATAGCATTAGCAGGAACTTAGTCAGTCACAGCAAAATACCCACTGCCTTATTACTACAACTTCCCCTCAATAAGGTAAATCAATTAACTCATATATAAGGTGGCACAGGGGAATTAATAAAAATAAATAAATAAAATATAAAAAACAACAAGTAAAAGATGTCATTTTTAAACTTGCACACTTAATGGGTTTGTTGAATTTTCATTTGTAAATAATGTGTCATTCTTGCACACCTAAACTGGCTATTTTTGAGACTTGTATTTAGATAAAAAAATCCTTCTCTCACTCTGGTTCTGTCAGCATCTCCCATGCATGCACACTCGTAAATTTTTTCCTTATTGTCGAATTTTAACACATAAACGAGTCATCCGTGCGCTCCACAAGACATCATGAAAGTGAGATATGCAAAGCCTTTTGATCTTTCTTTTATAAAATTTATATTTCTAATATTTAAGTTCATTATTGATCATTTAAATTGGTTCTATTCTGTACAGGATACACGGTTTGTGAGAGTTCACACTGTTCTTTACCTTGAGTAGGGTTACTATAGTACAGAAAATGGGTTTTACGTACCTAGGTATATATACTGTACAGGGGAACTTGAATATACGCAAAATTCGTTCTTACATGAGGCTCCCAGAACGCATCCCTCGCATACTTTGAGACCCTACTGTAAACTTCTCAGTATTATTACAGTTTGAACCACAACTCAGTTAAAACAATTTTGTGTTTGTCAATAGGAACAGCTTTTTCTAATACTACTTCCGTCACAAGTGGATATTAACCACGAAAGTAAATTCACATAAGAAATTAGCGTAAATCTGCAGTCACCGTGTGTCGTCTGTTTGCTCACAGCCGACCTGTTCAATCTGAGCTTACTCTCACATCCACAAAAAACATAAAATTATACCATGATGCTTCAACAAAGTTGCTTTCATTGGTACCAGATATCAAAATAAGTACTTTCTGTTTATTATAGCGGTGATGGCTAGGAATTTAGATAAGGTTAGGTAGGTTTCTTTGATTGCTTGGTTAGGTCAGGTTGTATGGGGGGGGAGTACGTCTAAAACGACTCATTTCCGGCTGAAATGAAGGTCAAATACCATGGGAAAAACAAAAATATGTGGTCGAACAGCAGTTGTGGCTGAAATTGTATATTTACCAACTTCTCATACAAGTTCACATTAGTTTATCATGTAACACTAATAGGACACAGTAAGTAATCGCAAGTAAAATGTAAACAAAGAAAACCCAATTAGTAGTTCCTGCTATTAGACAAATTTTAGTTTTTTATTAAGTCACCGGATTTGTTTTCTATGCATAAAACTGTTTATGAAAATCTTGAGGAAAAAACACCTATTACTAGTAGTGTGGGCTTAAAAAAGACCTTTACCAATGGTATTCGTTATATAAAATTTGTAGGTTAAGTAGAATATTACTGTCATTAGCGGTTATAAATGACAAACTGTAATAAGAATCATATTTGGACGTAAGGATATGATACCCTGGCATGAATACTCTCTAACTTTGGTGTCGAGTTTGTCTTTTATTGTCAATTACACGACTAATTACATTTTCATACCACAAAACACTCAGCCTTTGTTGAAAGTTAACCTGGTGATGAACGGGCCGAGTTAAAGTATTACCTGTTAGCTGGAGTTCATGAAACACACACAACAAACACAAACATGGCCACTGACAGTAAGGTTGTGGACACAGATTCTCAAGGACAGACTCTTATCACTTGGACACAAAACATCAAGAAATTAAACAATCAGTTCGATTTCCAAACTATAAAATTTATAAGAGAGTAACAACTGTATTCATAATTTTATAGGGTAGATATGGCAATATTAACAGTAAGACCTGCTACAGCAAAGAGCGCCATCAACCGGCGCGAGGGGAATGTATTCCAAAAAGTTCTTAATTAAATCGGCATGTCAAGGATTACTCGTACAGAGATTTTGAGCACAATTAAATTTTACAACTCAAACTGTTAGGCTTGGTGTTTTTCTCGACAAAAATACCCACTCTCTCGGAACTGGAAATCAGTATCTTTGCCACCTGGCAGCTTCGTCGGTTATCCTCGGTCAAGTTGTTTTACTGTATACTCCCACGGCCAATGTGCACTGCATACTTACATTGTCTATATTCATGCTGAACTGTATAATTGCATAATTTATAAACACACTTATCCAATTATCAACCTGTATTACAATTGGTGAAGAGGATAACGAAAAAGAAAAGTAACGAGACGTGACCGATCGCCCAAGCGGCTAACGAGCCGATCAGTGGTTAAGAGAATAAAAGTAAATAATAATAATAATAATAATAATAATAATAATAATAATAATAATAATAATAATAATAATAATAATAATAATAATAATAATAATAATAATAATAATGATGATGATGATGATGATGATGATTTATCTTTCTTTTAACCTCTTCGCTACTCGTTAGCCGCTTGACGGTCGGTCACATCTCCGTTACACACTGTTGGCAAGTACTGGGCATGCACTGGCTCCTGAATCATTGTATCTCTGTTCCAGTGTTGTGTTGATCAAGTATGGTCTTGAATGAGCTCACACTCGGTGCCGTCACAACGCTCTCCGGCAGATAGTTCCAAGAGTTCACAATTCTCACTCCGAAAAAAATTTGCCTTCACAGTTTTCTGGACTTGTGGTTTCTTCAACCTTGAGCTTTGAGCCTGTGACCCCTTGTGGGCGGACGACCGCCAGCTCCAGGTATGTACAGTAGACCAAGCAGCACCCCCTGAGATGTTTATACACTTCGAATAGGTCACCCCTCGCCCGTCTGTAGTATAAGCTAGGTAGTTGCAGGCACTCCAATCTCCCTGGATAACTGAGGTTCCGTAGAGCAGGCACCAGTCTGGTGGCCCTCTTTTGGAACATATTCAATCAATTGATAATCTCTAGCATACCTCGGGGACCAGATGGGGTGACAATACTCCAGGCGGGGAAGCACCTCGCTCTTGAAGATCGTGAGGAGTGACGGACCATCCAGATACCTAAACGACCTTCTTATAAGACATACTAGTTTCGTTGACTGATTCACCTTCTCACAATGTCCCGAGAATTTGAGTTCATTGCCGACATACACACCCAGGTCCTTTTCACATTCAGTCTCAATTAATGCAGTCTCTTCGATCTGTTGGGACATTGTGATACACCTCCTTATTTTTGGTGCGACACAGGTGCATCCTTTTGCACTTCGTGACATTGAATTTCAGCAGCCATTTCCTCAACTATTCTTGAAGCTCATAGAGATCTTTCTGCAGCTCTTCACGGTCTGTTTGGTTTTCCATATCCCTAAGTAACTTAGCATCGTCCGCGCACATTTGTATGGAGGAGAGGAGTGTACAGATTCTGGCATGGCATTAATGAAACAGACAAACAACAGCGGGCCCAATACACCTTCCTGTGGTACCCTGCTAGTCACGGGTACACACATGACGATTTCGTACCATTTATCACCACACACTGTTTGCGGTCATGCAGAAAGTCTCTGAGCCACGCTAGAACACTTCCCCGAATCCCGTACCTTTCCAGTTTAATTCTCACCCTTTCATGGGGTACACTGTCGAAAGCCTTGCCAAAATCTACGTATATATTGTCGATATTTCCACCTTGTTCTAGAATTTGAGTCCAAACATCTATTACCTTGAGTAATTGTGTTAAGCAGGATCTTCCTGGCATAAAACCGTGTAGGGCTGTAGGCATTCCTTTACAAGGTTTTTTCGTAGCAAATATTCCATCATGGCATCTCTTACGATGCTCTCTAGTACTTTGCTGGTCAGGCTCACTGGTCTATAATTATTTGTGGAGTGACGATCGCCCTTGACTATAGGACTCACATAAACCATCTTCCAGTCGTCGGGGACCTTTTCTCCTCCAGGCATTTGCAGAACAGTATCTTAAGGGGCTCCACGAGCTAATTACACTCTGGGGTGTACCATGTCTGGACCGGGACTCTTGTGAATCTTTAGTTTTAACAGTTTATTTCTTATAACCTCGTCCGAGAACACAATGCGGGTCAGCTCTGTGTCAAACCGTCTTTCTCCCACCGAAGGAAGATTATTCACATCCTCTCATGAACACCGATGAAAAAAAAAATTGCTCAACGCCTCCACCTTATCCTGTTCAAAATCTGCATAACTACCATCTTCAAGCCTCTGGTCCGATATACCTACTCACGTATTTCATTTCGACTTTGTGTAGTGGCAAAAACGCCTTTGGGCTCGACTTGACCTCACTAGCAATCTGCCTCTGGAACTCCTTTTCAGCCCTTCTACACTCTGACTTTGCTTAGTTCCTGGATCTGGCATACATCCTCCTGGTCCTGCTCATCATTTGTCCTAACCCACGTCTCGAAATCCTGAGATTTCTTCTTATTTTATCCTTCCGCCGCATGGTTGATGTGTAGCGGTCTCCTTGGATTCCTGGAGGCACTAGGTTTGATTTTAGGTATATATTTATTGATCGAATAGTTTACTTTACTGGCTACGGTATTCATCATAGCATCTGCGGTTTTTATTCCTTAGTAAGTCAGGCCAGTTTATACTCATCTCCTCCCTCATCCCATCGTAATTTCCTTTGTAATATTTGAACCTGGATCTGGTTTTATCATAAACCAAATAACAGTAAAATGTGAAGGACAACGTTTCGTGGTGACTGGTCCAGCGGTTTGGATGTTTGCTTTCCTCTGTAGTGAGACGGATCTTTAACATGTTGGAATAGAAAATTGTCTCCGAGTTTCTACTAAAAGAGTGGCTGGATTATTTAGGTCGTTTGGCAGAGATCCATTTCTCAAGTCAATGTCACCACAATTAGTTTCCCATGACAAGGTGGCGGCTAA